GGACCAGGGTGGGGCAGGGAAGGCTGGGGCCAGCACCAGCTGCCTTACCTGGGGTGCTGGGGGGGCCTCTCGGGGCATCAGTGGTGCTGAGCCAGTGGCTTGGAGCCTGGATGACAGCCAGAGTTTGGCTCTAGCCGACCTGGATCCAGTTTCTGGTGGTGCACACTGCTGCCACATGTGCTGCCCTGCTTTTTTTAGCAGAGGGTTTGTTTTTTTTTGACACTAGGATCTCCTGGTGTCAAAAAACCCTGCCACACTATAAATTAACGGTGTGGTACATGACTGTATGTATGCCACATGCAGTCTGCAGTGCCACATGCAGTCTGAGGTGCTGCAAACTGTACACATATGCTCACGGGGACATGCCCATGAAGGTCAACAGTAGCTGAGGTATTAGCACACTGGAATTCTGATCCACATTAAGAGTTATGTCACAGACTATATCCATATTGGTTAGACAGCACACTTCTTAGGGTGCTGAGGTCATTTGGGTGACAACTATGGACTGCAGCCCTAACCCTGTTAGTTGTTTCAGTGGACAACTGGAGTCCTGGACAAAGGAAAGAGAGTGTCTGTTGTGCTGTGCAAGCCATCATGTGCTAGGATCGTGAGTAGCAGCGAGTTATGACCACTCTACTTTACCTCTACTCAGAAAATATGATACAAGTATATTAACACATAATATGTTATATAAGGTAATAATATAGTATAATAATGTCACCAGAAACCCAGGTTGGAGGATCTTCTTGACATTTCTACTTGAATATTTAGACATACTAAACACAATTTGATGTAGCAAGATGGCACAAGTCAGATAATTATTGTGATATGACCTCTCAGACAGTAAAAAAGGAAACCTTCCCTCTCCTGGGTGAGGGTTTTGCAGCTCCTTGCCTTAAAATGTGTCTCTCAGGTTAGTTTTAGAGAAAACCCAGGTGCCTCATTTTTAGAGGAACTTCTCAGAGTCTGCTGCTGCTTCCTTCATAGTAAATGACACCATTGCCATTGGCTTCAGTGGGAGCAGCAGCAGGCAAAATTCATGCCCTGGCTTTATGAAGTTATGCACAGACTATAAGTATTACTTACTCAGAGACGGAATGAATCAAACCATTGCTCCATAATCTCCATGGGACAGGTACATGTCCTATATGTCTGCACAACATCCAGTGCAATGAGGCCTGATTCTGACTGGATTCTTTGGGCACTTCCACAGTGTAAATACTACCAGCAGTAAAGGAAAACCTACTGTGCATAACCATCAGATGCTGATTTAACTAAAACACTGGAAATTCTTTGTGATACAGATCTAAATGAAACAGGCGTTCCACTGTAGAACTTCTTTAATTTGTAGTACATGGAACTGAAAATGTGCCAAAATGGATAATGTGCCCTGCTTGTTAGCACAATAAAATTTGTGCTGAGTCCAGTATTGCTAGATGTTCTTTAACAAAACTGAATTTACAGAAGGTATTTTAGACTGATGCATTCTGTGGGTAAAATAATCTTGCGGACCATTGGCTTAAGTTCAGGTTCAAACCTTGCACTGATTAATAGCTGATTAGCTTCTTATGTATAGAGTGAATCTGATGGTCTCTGTGCTCATTTCAAGCCTGACCCAAAGATTATGGAAGCCATTTGAAGTATTTTCTTTCACTTCAGTGGACTTTTTTTTTATGCCTTCACTCCTTTGCCACTTCGCAAGGACTGATAGTTGTCCAAAACGAAAAGCCATGTCCAAAACAGAAAGCCGTGGAAGCAGCATCGAGACTAAGCTCTAAGCTAGTTTTTGTTCCAGTTCTGAATACGCATATTTTGATTTTGCAGCTTATGGTGGAAAGTTCAGGTTCCAGTCAATTGTGTTCACTAGACTCTGGGCTATCAAGCTGCAGGGTTGTGGTTTGATGGCCGGCATGGATAGCAGACTTGGCTGCTACATTAGCCAAGAGCACAAGCTATTATTGTTGTTTATTTTATGAATTACAATAGCATCTAGAGGCTTTAACTGTGGTTAGGGGTTTTATTTTACTTGACAGTGAGCCTTGCAGACCTTACAATATCTATAAACAAGAAAGAAAGGAATATTATCATCCCTAATGTGCAGGTAGGGAACTGAGGTACAGACAGATTATGGGGCTTGTTCAAGGTCACCCAGAAAAACTCAGGTTGAGGTGGAACCTGAGTTTAATGCAAGTCTCTTGGGTCTATGTCTACCCCTTTAACATATCTTATCCAGCAGCCTAATTTCTACTTACAGAACAGATTATTTGTCCAGAAGGGGCTGTCTTGGCCCTACCCTTGCAAGATGATGACTCCTAGAAAGCCCCACCCCCATAGCACTACCCACTTGATCTCCCCCAAACCAGAGGGAGCTACTAGGCAAAGTATGAAGGAGGTGTTCATCCTTTCTTTTTGCCATTCTGATTAGTGATGGTATGACTTTTAATCTAATTTCAGCTGCCCTTGACAGGGAATATGAACCAGACATTAGGTATTAACAATAAAAAAGAAATGTAACAAAATTACTCTCCTTCCACCTGTTTTGAAATACAGGTTTCCTTTGATTTATGCTGTACATGCGTTCCTGGAGAAGGGAACATAAATTAAATTCACATAAAGCAGGGGCGGGCAATTATTTCAGGTGGAGGACCGCTTGCTGAGTTTTGGCAAGCCATTGAGGGCCGCAGGACAGGCAGCCAGGGGCAGATAACTATTCATTTTCTAAATTTTTTAGGAGCCCCATGCGCCAGATAGAATGGCTTGGCGGGCTGCATCCAGCCTGTGGGCCACATTTTGCCCACCCCTGGCATAAAGTGAACACACTTTACAATGTAATGAATAGGAATAGGCTCCCATGGCAGTGAGGGAGGAGGGAGGGAGCGAGGCTGGGACTAGGGAAGGGACGGGGGGGGGAGGAGTGCCACTCCCAGGGCTGCACAAGGCAGCAAAGCAGAGGGAACAGAGCAGCACTCACCCCAGCCCTGGCTGCAGCGGCCCTGGGAGTGGCCAATGTCAGCTGCCTGCAGCTGCTGGGCTGCACCATGCACCGCCTGTCCCCACTCACCTCTGCTCCTGGGCTGTGCCATGCCCTGGTGCAAGCAGCTAGTGTCAGCTGCTCCCAGGGCCACTGTAGCCATGGCTGGGGTGAGTGCTGTGCCTTGTGCCACCTGGGGCTCTGCTTGCCTGCACTCACCCCAGCCTCTGCTGAAGCATCCCCGGGAACAGCCAACACCAGCTGCCTGCACCACGGTGCTGTCCAGCCCAGGAGCTGGGGTGAGCTTGGGTGTGGGGGGACAGGTGGTGCACAGTTCAGCCCAGTGGCTGCAGGCAGCTGGTGCTGGCTGCTCCTGGGGCCAGGATGACTGGGGCCATGGCCCTTTCCCCTCCCCCCACAGACTTACCTGTTTGGGCAGGGGGGCATTTATGCTGATCGCATACAAGCCAATTTACCTTGCATATAATGAATTATGGGTCTAAATATATGCTCATTGCATAGAGTGAATTTGCATATAAAGAACCCGCTTAAATCAAGGGAAACCTGTACCAGTGTCAGATTTGGATAGATTGAATAGATTTGGTTTCACCCAGTGCGAACAGTAACTTCAAAAGAAGAAAAAACAAGTATGTAAAATAACTTTGCAACCAAACAAGCCTGGCAATAAACTGGAAAATTTGTTGTTTTCCAAAATAGATAAAAAGGGAAGGGGCTGAAATAAAAAAACAAACAGCGTGGGAGTGAATTCTGGATCCGAAACGCCTTCTAAGAGTAAAAGCAAAGAAACTGCTCTACAAATCTGAGTCACTAGGTGGGGCTAAGAACCCAATCCTTCCCTTCGGAAATGCATGAGAAGACAAGTTAGGGGCAAGCAAAGGGAAGGAGGAGTCGGGGATTGAGCACTGAAGTCATTAACTCCCTCAAGCTATATAAAGGCAGTTGCACAGTAAGTAATTTATGCTTAGGCAGCCTTGGCTCGATGGATTTGCACATTCCTTTTAATTTGTGATGGCATCAGCTCCTACCAAAGCATCATCAGCTCCTGATGTTGGATGCACAGGGGAGCTGAAACTTCTGACAGGCTGAAGAAAAAGGTGCAGAATATGAAGAGAAATAGGATCTGAAGGAAGAGTCCTGGTAAATAGGTACAGCTGCTTCTTAATTGTAAATAAAAAGATACCTTTTCAGACTGAGCATAATTGAACTTAAAAAGCCATTCCATTTTATGTGCATCGAGTCACTGACATTAAATTAAATATATTCTGCTTATTAAGGTTTGTATTGCTTTTTGAATGCCTTTAATGCTGAAAGAGCCTTTGTTGAAAATGTCCACAATTTGACTGGAAGTCCATAGTATTCATGACAGTAATTTTACCCTGTGACACTCCTGGCCAAATTAAAATATTTAAATCCTAAGTACAAGAGATGAGAACATTATGAATCCTGGAAAATAAGGATTTGCCTCATTTTCATAGTACTACCTGAGCAGCTAAACTGTTGATAATACAGTTCATACAAACTTGAGAAGTACAAAGTTCAGGAATATATTTAAATCTTTTGATTAAAAAGCTCAGCCCTTAATTCTTGCAGGAATTCAAATGTTGTTTAATTACAGTCAAGTGAGCAGATACAGCCTGATTTCAGTCACGAAAATCGTATTTGTATGGGTTCAAGGCTGCCAGGGTTGAGACATAGGTCAGATATTATTTGTTGTTCTGTTTTCACCACAATTTCCAGAGAACTGTGCTAGCTTCGGGGAAAGACAATTAGAATAAAACAAAGGTGTGAGGAAAAAGAAGGGGAATGAAACTCTTTGATTTTAGTTTCACCATGAGCAGGGATAGTTGGAAAAAACTCTTTTTGTGTGATAGGTTAATTAAGAATAAACAGACAGAATGTAGAACAGTCAGGAGCTGAACATGCCAAGTTAAATAGAAATATTTGACTCTATCTGATATTTGTTTTGTCAACTCCTGCCTGTTCTTGTCGTGTCCTGATTTTTTGGCAGGGTCTCTTGCCGTTCTGGAAAATGCATTTACCACCCTCCTTTACAACAAGTCCCTCGGAAGGAACAGAACACATTTACCTCCAGAGATGAATACATCTTACCAGCTATACATTCCAGAACTTAACTTGAGTACCTTTGGCAACAACTTTACGGTTCCCACTGTCAAGAGCAAGTCATCACCATGTGAGCAGGTGGTCATTGCAGCAGAGGTGTTTCTGGCACTTGGCATTGTAAGCCTTCTTGAGAACATCTTAGTCATCTGTGCAATAGTTAAGAATAAGAACTTGCATTCGCCCATGTATTTCTTTGTGTGCAGCTTAGCAGTAGCTGACATGCTGGTCAGTGTGTCTAATGCTTGGGAGACCATAACAATATATTTAATAAACAATAGGCATCTAATTATGGAAGATGCCTTTGTACGTCATATAGACAATGTTTTTGATTCAATGATCTGCATATCTGTGGTGGCTTCCATGTGCAGTTTGCTTGCTATAGCAGTAGACAGATATGTCACCATCTTCTATGCCCTACGTTATCACAACATCATGACAGTGAAAAGATCAGGGCTTATTATTGCATGCATATGGACCTTTTGCACTGGCTGTGGCATTATCTTCATTCTTTATTATGAATCAACTTATGTTATCATTTGTCTCATCACAATGTTTTTTACCATGTTATTCCTCATGGTTTCTCTGTACATACACATGTTTCTCCTGGCTCGCACTCATGTGAAGAGAATAGCAGCTCTGCCTGGATACAACTCTGTCCATCAAAGAACCAGCATGAAGGGAGCCATCACTTTGACCATGCTACTTGGCATTTTCATTGTTTGTTGGGCTCCATTTTTTCTTCACCTCATCCTGATGATTTCTTGCCCTCAGAACCTCTACTGTATTTGCTTCATGTCTCATTTCAACATGTACCTTATCCTCATCATGTGCAACTCTGTGATTGATCCTTTGATCTATGCCTTTCGTAGCCAGGAAATGCGGAAGACTTTTAAGGAGATTATTTGTTGCTACAGCTTGAGAATGGTCTGTGGGTTACCCAGCAAATATTAGGAAAACATGTATTTTTGAGTAAGAAACTAAAACCTGCAATTTTTTTCATCAAGAGAATTGTGAATCAAAATTGTTAGTAACTTGTCTGATTTCTGCTGAATGGACTATAAAAAACATCTTTCTACTTTTTGCTTGTCATGATGATGATTTTTCTTTTTCTTGGGAAATTACAAAGCTGTTTTTCTAGTTTAATTATGTGGTCTATTCCCCCCACCCCCTTCATGCACATCTATAACCCTGGCTGGCATTAATAGGAGTTACCCTATGCATGTGCATCAAAGGGACCATAGAAAATGTTGGCCCAGATTCAAGTCTCTGAAAGCAATGCATCTTTTACTCCTCAGTCTTCATAGGCTGGGGCTTGCATAGATTGGGTCTGGATAGGCTATTCCTATCTGCTCTAATGTGAAGCACAATGTACATAACCATATATACTAGCTTATGTGATGGTTAATGTGTTTTTTCTGGAGACAAGATGGCTTATTTCACTGTACAGAACAAACAGGTTTCTTGATAATTTAGTCATTGAACATAAAGTTAGAACAGTAACTGTGATTTAGCCATAAGGAAAGAAAATAATCCGTAGATGTAAGGATCCACAGTTTATAGCTGTCAGGTCTTGACTGACACAGATATAACTAAGAACTTCTGTACCAGCATGCAAACAAACACTAGCAATCTTGTAATCCAGTCATGACTGCAACAGTCACAAATGACGTATCACACAACCAGCCAAAGTAACTGCAGGAATTCCCAGTATGGATTATAGTATTTTGCAGCACAAATCCGTGTCTGCTCCAGCATCCCAATCACTGCATCTGTGAAAAAGGTTTATCATATGCCTCAGACTAAAGACAGAGCTAGTTATACATTTTTCAGGATGCAAAATGCTGTAGTAAACATATATATATATATATATATATATA